CCTATCTATCATCTGACTGTCTCTTATGGTGGTATGTCCCCCCCCCCTTTTTTTTTACATACATGTAATATTTTCCCCTTTCCTGGTTGACTTTTTCCATTTACTGAAATTGAACATGATCTAAAATAATTGTTATAGAATCCTAAGTCTTTCTGACTTTCTGACTTCAGTGTTCACCAACAACTGTTCAAGTTTCTTAGTTTCTCAGACTTTAGAGCAAAAAGCTTGACTGGTCCAGTTCATCTGAGGCTGAACCACAAGTGATGATGGGTAATGGCATCCTCATATGTGACTTTGGCATGAGTGTCTGCTTCTGTGAAATTAGCTTTGGCTAGCTAGGCTGACGTGGGTGAGATTTAGGAGTAGGAGAGGAAATAAGGAATTCAGAGGAGGTAGCAGGAATATGAATAGGGCAGGAGTAGACATCTCTAACATAGCTACCTTGGTGAATATATTTCAGATATAGTGTCTAAACTTGATCAATAAAAACTTAGGTGTTTCCCCCCAGAGGACATTGGATCAAAATGTTAAAATATAACTAAAATATATTGATTATTTACAATGTGCCTGATGCTTTTTCTAGTGCTTTACACATTTACCTGTTGAACCCTCACAATAACCATGCTATTTTTATCCGCATTTTACAGATGAAAAACATTAGCCCTAAGAAGTTAAGCAATTTGCCCAGAGTAAAATAGCAGAGTTTAAACTTTAAACTGGTTCCAGAATCTGGGTTTATGGTGTACTATTGCCTTGCCTTCTTTTTGCTGAGAACTATTCAAAAAGGATATGGTCTATGTCAAAGGTTGTCAACACACAGCTTGCCAAGTCTGATTGCTATTCTAGAATCTTTTCTTCTCCTGGTTGGGTCAGGGAATTCAGAAAAAGGAAAAGAAAAATAGAATCCTTCCTAAGTTAGCACTTTAATAGTCAATGTGGATTTACCAGAATTAGATTGTGAAATGAAACCCATCTACCATCCTAGGTGTTCTAATTTTAGGTGAATGTGCTATTATGCTATCATATGTATCAGTTTGTTTTAAAATGGTTCATAATAAATCATTTTATGGAATATTGATAGGTATTTAGAGGATAAACAAGCTTCCTGGAAGATACTACGTTGATAAAAATTAAGCAGTTTCTTTCCTTGTGGAACTTGTTAGAACTTTGATATGCTAATCGCATTATGAAGTTCCAAGTGGAGGCATGTGTTGGCCACAGTGGATAATGTTCCCCACACTTATTTGATGTTTGCTCTTTTTCACAAGTATTTTGAGAGACTAGTGTTCAATAGAATGTATATTGGGAATAACTTGGTTAGCTAATTCAGGATCTGCAAATACTGTGGTATATGTTCTGTGTCCTTTTCATGTAGAGTAGGCATAACCCATAAATACTGATCCATTTATGTTTTTCCAGTTGTGTACCCTTTTTTGCTTTGTTTCCTTAAGGTCCTTTTATATTTATATTTGTTTCCTCAAGAGTGAGATTGGGGCATGTAGTAGAAGATAAAACATCTACTTTATACTTAGTGTTCTAGAACTTGCTTTTACATTATACCATGGTTACCATGGTTCAGTCTAGACAGTCTGTTTTTTTTTTTTTAAATCTTCCTCTGTTGACATATACTGTACCTTTAATGATTTCATTGTTGAGAGGCACTTTCTGTTTTTATACTTGTTTGTAAATACAATAAAATTTCCAGGGCAGTCAAATAATGTTTGTTGGTTGAGGGAAAGAGAGATACACCTTAGAGGACTTTGACACTTTGATTTGCTTCCTTTTTCTCATCTTAATCTACTGAATAACTTTTTTTTTTTTTTTTAATCATAGAAGTCTGATTTTTTTCTGAATTTCTGGGTCTGTTGACTAAAATTGTCCATGTTGCTTGGTGGGGAGGGGTGGATTTTTGTTTTTTTCCCTGAAATAACTCCAGAATTAATATGGTTTCTCAGTCTCGTAGGATCTCTCTGGATGTTCTGTTGTATTGCCAGCTGTCCTATTTACCCCATCCACTCTCTCTATATTTTATCACCATTGTGGTTCTTGTTTACATGTGATCTCTATTTTCCATAATTTGAGTGCATCCATACTCCTGAATTCCCAGCTTCCACCTTGCACATTTATGCATTCTTTAAGACTTAATGCCCAGTTGTTAACTACTTTGTTTCTTATTATTCATTACTATTCTTATTCATTGCTGAGAGAGGACATTTGATTAATCCAGTACTTTCTTTAAGTGTAAAAATTAAGGTCACTTGCATATGTGATTATATGATTTTTTTGTTAGTTGCCAATCTCTACTTCAGTTAGTTGTGACTTGTGAGTGAAGGGCACCCATCCTTCAGGCTTTATGCCATATCAGAAAACACTGTTGACATGTCTAGCATAATATATAAATCTTATACTAATCTTGTACCTTAGTTTATACTGTTGGGATACTGATTTAGATAATGTTGTGTATCCTGCTTCTTAAGTAATTTTTATTAAAATATATTTTGGGGCAGCGCCTGTGGCACAAGGAGTAGGGTGCTGGCCCCATATACCGAGGGTGGTGGGTTCAAACCCAGCCCTGGCAAAAAAAAAAAAATGAATTTTTTGGATAATTTTGTGGGTATTAATACATGAATGTCGAAACAAGTGAAAAGACACAGTGCAAAGATACGTAAACATCTCTCCACTTCTTTTTCTGATGTAATTAATATTTATGGCCTCTTGCATATACTTTCATACCTATTCTTTACTTACAACAACACGAGGACTTTTTTTTTTTACTGAAATAAGATCACTGTGAAGTACTTTGCCATATTTTTCTTTCCACTCAAAAATCTATCATGAAATAGCCTCAGAAGTCCATGTTTATCTTCTCCTAACTTATGCCTGTACACATTCAAATATATATACAAAAACCCTTAAAAAAACCTTGATAGATTATTTTGGGGAGGGGGTTTCTGTTTATTTTTATTCTTCTCATTTTGAAAATCCTTTTTTAGCTTGGCTTTCGATCATTGATCTTCTTACTAAGCCACTTCTCCCATTAAACGGGATAACCCATGTTATACTGGATATTCTTCCATCCTTTTCCTGATGCTTATTAATATTGTATACAAATATACATATATATGTTTGAACGTACATACTCATGTGTGTAATTTTTTAGTCATTCCTTTTTTAAAAACGTAATCATAGGGCAGCGCCTGTGGTTCAGTGGGTAGGGCGCTTGCCCCATATACTGAGCGTGGTGGGCTCGAACCCGGCCCTAGCCAAACTGCAACAAAAAATAGCCAGGCATTGTGGCCAGCGCCTGTAGTCCCAGATACTTGGGAGGCTGAGGCAAGAGAATCACCTAAGCCCAGGAGTTTGAGGTTGCTGTGAGCTGCGATGTTACGGCACTCTACTGAGGGCAATAAAGTGAGACTCTGTCTCTAAAAAAAAACCAAAAAACTAATCATAACACACTTCTGTATTTGGGAGATAACATGGTATCATTAGCAATACACTGAAAATTCCTTTCAGACTGCAAGGATGGCTACAAATCATTTCCATTTTTTGATTTTTTTAAAAATTTCTTTTTCTTTTTTTTCTTAATTAAATCATAGTTGTGTACATTAATGCAATTATGGGGTACAATGTGCTGGTTTTATGTACAATTTGAAATACTTTCATTGAACTGGTTGATTTTTTTTTTTTTAATTTCTTTTCCCTTCCTCCTTCCATCTCTCTTTCCCTTGTTTGTTTGTTTCTTTTTCTTTCCTTTTTTTTTTTTTTAAAAGGGCAGGGTCTCATTCTGTTGTGCAGGCTGGAGTACAGTGGTATGCTCATAGCTCACTGTAACCTTGAACTCTTGGGATCAAGAGATCCTCCCACCTCAACTTCCTGAGTTGCTCGGACTACTGGCATGCGCCACCACACTCAGCTGAGTTTTAAATTTTTTTGTAGAGACAGGGTGTCCCTCTGTTGCCTAGGTTGGTAGAGAATTCCTGACCTCAAGCAAATCCTCCCTTCTTGACTGCCCAGAGTTTTAGGATTACAGGTGTGAGCCACCATACATGGCCTCATTGCTTTTTCTCTTTCAATATCTTATGAAAAATTTTAAATATACAGAAAATTTGACAGATTAGCACAGTGAACACTCAAATTTTTTCCACATAGGTTCAGTAATTAACATTGTATCATATTTTTTATCTTTCTCTGTGTTTTATGTATTATTTTTACTGTACCATTTGAAAACTAACATAAATAATAGGACATTTTATCCCTAGGTACTTCAGCATGCATCTCTGATAATACAGGTATTCTTTCACAACCACATTATTATCACACTAAAGAATATTAATATTGTTATCACCTCATAGCCAAGACATATTCAAATTTTTCCAGTTGTTCCTAAAATATTTTTATAGGTGTTTGTTTTATATTGAAACAAGACCCATTTGAGTTTCACTTATTGTATTTGATTGTTAAATCTTTATTGTCATCTGTGTGCCTGACTTTTTAAAAAGTTTTGCTCAGTTAACTTGGTGAATGTCCTCTGTCTTGAATTTGCCTGATTATTTTCCGTTGGTATATTTTCAACTTGTGTCTTACCCTTT